CATTTGACCAGGGACCAGGAGTCTTGGGGTACTATTCTGCCCCTGACCAATTTCACTTGCATGCTCTCTGCACCTCAGTTTACTCCTCTGTAAAATGAGCAGATGGACTTTCTGTATGTATTATAGTTTTCACGTGTACAGAAAAATTTTGTTTTTTTTTTATTTTGGTATCATTAATCTACAATTACGTGAAGAACATTATGTTTATACAGAAAGTTTTTAAAAAATAAAAGCTTAAGACAAAATGAACTAGGAGACCTCTAAGGAGATGAGGGTGGGAGACTCTCACATAGGAAGTACTCAGAAGCTTGTGGGTTGGAATCCGACTTGGGTGTGAATATGACTTCAATATTAACCAGCTTCAAGTACTGACTGGGGCAAATCGCCTGACCTAGCAAAGGCTGTTAAGTGGGGACAAGGATACCAACTTGCAAAGTGGTTGTGAGAACCAAGGTAAATATGAAAATGCCTGGCCATAAGGGGCAGCTATGATGATTGCTTTTGTTATTTTTAATACCTTTACATGGCTTGGTGGAGCACAAAGGCAGCTCATCTCTCCCATCTCTACCTGACTATGTGGAGTCTGGCGACCTTTGTGTTGATGGCAGAATCAGAACTTGCAAGTTCTCCTCTGTCCTGGGAAATGCTTAACTCCCCAAACTTCGCACGAACCATTCTGTCTCCAACTCCCATTTAGTCGATTATTAATATAACTAATACTTAGTTCAATTGATTTGAGGACCCACTAGATGCCAAACACAGGACAGGCACTGGGGGTACAATGAGGGAAAAAATTTAGACAAGGTTCCTTCTCCCGGTGGAACTCACAGTCTGGAGGGGAAGCAGATGTTAATTTTTGAACTGCACAGCATCAGGTGAAACTCAATAGTGAGAGTGCTGTGAAGGAGACGGAGGGAGGGCAACACCTAGGGATTTGACCTAGTTGGGAGGGTGGACAGGCTTCAGGAGTGATGACTGGAAGGATGTCTGAAGGGTAAGCAGGAATTGACTGGGTGAAGAGGGAAGATAGAGCATTCAGGGCAGAGATAACAGCTTGTGCAAAGGCCCTGAGGCAGTATGAGCATGGTGCATACAAGAGCTAGGCTGCAGGGCTGTGAGTGGAGGAATGTGGAGACAGGAGGGTCAGCAGGACCACCCCATATAGAGCCTCGTGGACTGAACTGGGGAATCTGGTCTTTATTCCCAGAGAAATGGAGTCTTTGGAGGTTTGAAGGTACTTGAAACATGGATATGTGTTTCAAGTACCTAGGATGCAGTTGGAAAAGAGGTTTCGGGAGCTGGGGGTTGAGGGGGAATATGTTAGACAAACTATGGTACTGCCCAGTGAAGGGATGCTGGTGACCTGGGTGGGTGGGAGGTGCATTTGAGATGGAAATAGCAGTATTTGGGGGGTGCTTTGGGGTAGACTCCATAGGGCTTGGAGGTGACTGATGTGGTGGGTGAGAGAGGTGACTAAGGTGGCTCTGGCTGTCTGGCTTCCTAACTGGGTGGATGGTGGCTCTCCCTGGGCAAGGCTGGAATTCCCTTTCTGTCCTAAGTATGTCAGAGCCCAGCTGGTCACTGGTCACACCAGGGATATAAGAAAGAGGTCCCTGTGTGTGTTTCAGGGTAACAAGTGAAGTGCTTAGCACAGCATCTGGTACTCAGCAAATGGCAAGCACTTGCTGGGCCCCCTGAGCTGTTGTGACAGCACTGTGCCTCCCACTGTGTTGCTCCTTCCCCAGTCCATCCCACCCCAAGGAGGCTCCTGGCTTCTTGCCACAGGGACCTGTCTCCAGCTGACTCTCACTTCCTCGGCGGGGGGGTGGGGGGGCATCTGGGAGTCCCTGTAGAGGGGGGCAGATTTTTGTTGTCTCACCTCTTAATCTTGGAAGGTGGAGCAAGAAGGTTGAGAGCTGGCACTGGGAGAGGCTGGGCTTCTGAAGCCTTGGTTCTGAAGCCGCGGGCTCTGGCCCCACTACTCACCGTGTGACCAGAGGCAAGTGCCTTTCCCTCTCCAGACCCCAGTTTACCTAACTTGTAAAATGGAGGTGGGGCATTGGATTGGAGACAGTCTCAGAGACTAGTTCCAACTCAGGGGTTTTGTCTACACTCAAAGAAGAATGGGTGTGAGGCAGAACCTCCTTCCAGGAAGTGGAGGACAGTTATCACTTACTGAACACCTACTATGTCTACAGTTAACACCCATATCATAGATGAGGAAACGGAGGCTCAGGGCTGGCATTTCAGTCAGGGCTCTCTGATGCCTCCTGACCTTGCATGAGGTCAGGGCGTGCTCGTGCATGGCAAGCTGGGCCCACCACCAGGCCAGTGCTCAAGCCAGTCCCCCTCTCCACCTCTCCTGTGGAAGGCTCAGCTCAGACCTGTGTCTTCCATGAAACTTTCCCCTGAGCCCCTCTCCTTCCAGGATCCCCATTGCCCTCATTAGTGACCTTGCTCCTTCATTCAGGGCACACTTCTCTATCCCTGTCTTACCTGGGTTCAGCCTTTCTCATGTACCTGTCATATCTTCCAATTGGTTGCTGCCTGTGTGATGTGCAAACAGCAGGGCCTTGGATGGAAGGAATGTTGGATAAGTACTGGAGCGCCATCACTGCGAGGGCAACACCCAAGTCACTCTCTCCTGTGCAGAATCCCGGGGTGAGAGACTGGGAACCCAGAATTTGCCTACCTAGGAGGGTCTCTAGCTGATGCCTGTAGATACCTTTATTTGGCCCTGTTCATTTCCAGAAACAGGGCTGGCCACCCAGCCATTCATTTCCCCTACTTTCTGTTCCAGACTCTGAGCTATGCTCCCATGTCCCCTCTTCCTAACAAAGGCTTCCTCAGTAGAAAAGAGCTTGGACATACAATACTTGCCAACAAAAGCAACCATTGTAGCCCCAGGGAAGGGAGTGGGGGTAGAGAACCAGGATGAAGTTGCTTTTTGCTCTGTTTGCCAAGACTGGGTCCTGAGTCAAGCTGCTGGGGTCCCAGCTGTAATCTGTCCCTCTTGATTTACCAAGTCTAAGGCTGGAAGAATGGGGTGGAGTCTGGGGAGAGGGCTCAGGTCCCCTGAGTTTTCTAGGAAAGCTTCTCTGGAATGGCCCTGCAGTAAATTAGTAATCATGTGCTGTGATTTTTCCCTTCTGTCCCTATAGGACCCCTACTCTGCAGCTGGGAAAACTGGGACCCTGAGAAGGGAGGCCATTTTATCCTGAGCTCATTTAGTGGGTTCATGGAAGGCCAAGTGGAGATAGTTTCTGCCTGGTCATCTTATGGGCGCTCCTTAAGTTCCCAACACGCAAACACTCAAAGCCCCCCACCCCGTCACATTCTCCTGCCATCAGCCCTCACGCACAAAACCACAGTCTGGCTCCTGACTTCACAGATCGTAAAGGACCAGAAAAAGGAGAAAGGGCTCTTCTTCCTGAATGTAATATAGATCAGTTTGGTGGTTCTGTTTCCAAATAATTAATTTGGATGCTGTAATGTTACCTGGAATAGAATACACTCTGCATTTCCACAGGACTCTAAAGTTTATGTCTGACTCCTGTGATCCTCATAATTTACCCTTTGACAGATGAGGTACTGCAGCCCAAAATGGGAAATGATTCGTGCTTGGTCACATGGGCTGTAGTTGGCAAGGTTAAGCCTAGGAGAGTCTCTTGACTCCTCATCTTATCTCTTTCTCCAGCTCAGCACTAGACTGTGGTTCTGATGCCAGCCCTGCTGCTAATGAGCTGTCTGACCTGGGACACATCACTTCAGCCCTCCAAACCTGCTTCATAAATGCACTGGCCCTCCAAAACCTTGACATTTCTTCATTCCACAAGCACTGCTTCTCAGGAGGCCCTGAGCCAGGTCCTGAGGCCATGAGGATGAGGAATCCAGCTCTCTGCCCACAGGCAGACCCCAGCAAGGGTATAGACTGGGTGTCCTGTGGGGCACAGAGTGCAGGAACCCAAGGCCTTTCTCGGGGGATCCAGGGATTCCTAAGAGAAGTCTGATTAGAGAATTTCCATCCATAGTTTGTCCTCCCTTTAAGAAAACCCCAGAACAAAATGTTTCAACTCAAAAGTAAAAAGATTAGGGGTCTTTATACATTATATACAAAGATTCTTACTCCATAACTCTTAAAAACACAACCTCCTTTTTCCAATTCCCACCTCTGGATTGCTTGAAATACAGTTCATTTGCAAATTGCATTGAACGCATTTATAGAGTAAAGCAGGAGTTGGGCTGTTTGCCCTGACTACTGAACTAGTCTCAGTAACACTGTAAACCCAGCTTCCACTCTTATCTCTCAGTCTCTTGGTTTCTCCCACCCTGGGCTGTGGCAGGTGCTAAAGGTGTCAGGGATGGAAGTGGAGGACAGTTATCACTTATTGAACACCTACTATGTCTACAGTTAACACCCATCTCATAGATGAGGAAAAGGAGGCCCAGAGCTGGCATTTTAATCATGACTATCTGACATAAAGCGAGGGCTCTCTCCTCACCTTACTCAGCCCTGCTCTTGGCTAGGGTACAGGTGCTCACTGTGCCTGGGGGCCCAGGGGGCTGTAGTCTGCAAAATGGTAGATCCAAAGGGTCGAAGGTTAGTCGCAGGGCCTCAAGCCCATTAGGAGAGAAAGAAGGAGGAGAGGGGCGCTGCTCACACTCTCCCCACCCAGAGGCGGTCGGACATCCTTCTGCCCAGCGGCTCTGGAGAGTGGACCCTATGGTCAAGAGAACGAGGAGCCAAGGAGAGCGTTTACAGGCCGTCACTCCGGAGAAGCCCATGTTGCTGGGCGGGAAACGCGCCCGGGGCGCCCGGGGCCCCAGCTTTGGCTACGCGTGGCGCTTCCGATCCCGCCGGCCGCCCGCAGCGGCACTTCTCGTCCCCGCGCCCCGCCCCCGGGCGTGCTGCGCCCCCCGCCCCGCCCCGCTCCGCCCCGCCAGTGTGCCCACCCCCGTCCAGCCCCACCGCCCCCTTGCCCGGCTCCCGCCGCGTCCCGGGGCGGCGCGGCGCGGCCGGACGGAGCGGCAGGCAGTTGGCACCGAGGCGCTGGCGCTTCGGTCGCTCGGCTCTCCCACCCGCCCGCAGCCTCAGGCGCGTGGAGCCGGCGGTCCAGGCGGCGGCGCGGCGCTGGGGGCCGGGAGCCGGAGGGCGGGAGGCGGCGGCGGCGGCGGAGGCCGGCCCTCGGGCAGCCGAGGGTGCGCTCCAACCTCTCCGGCAGCCGGGACTCGGCCCGCGCCCCGCTCGGCCACATGGCCCCGCTCCCCGCGCTGCTGTCCTGTCTGTTGCTCCTGCCCTGTGCGCTCTGCGCCACCGCGGGCAGCAGGACCCCAGGTGCGTGCGGGTCGGGTGCGCGGCGGGGCAGGGGTCCGGGATGCCCGAGGGCCAGGGTGGCCCGAGGGTGCCCAGGGAACCAGGCAGCGTTGAAGCTGATGGGAGGTGGTGCCCACACTGAGGCTGAGTTCTCTTTTCTTCCTCTTGTGCCACCTGAGCTGACCCGAGATTTCTCTTCCCTTCAAGCCCAAAGGTAGAGAGAGACCCCAGGAGAGGGTTTGGGAATACTGAGTCTCTTCTAAGCATCTGTGTATCTCTCTCTCTGTTCATCTTTTACTCGGCATAGGTCTATCTTTAAGGTCTTTTCTGTCTCTTAACTTGTGGGCGTGTGTGCGCATGTGTGTGTACGTGTTTGCATGTCTCTGTCGCATCGAATCAGGCTGGCAGGTGGTTGCCCCACACCCGGGAGAGCATCCGGCACTCACACTCATGCACAGAAACACACCTCTAACCCTCTATCCCAGTATTCTCACACTGTATGCAGACCACTGCTTACACTACTTACACACAGATGCACTTCACCCGCACCTGCAGCGTGGGACTCTGAGCGTGGGGAGGGTACTCCAGTCATTTCCAGTCAAGGTGCCTGCTTGCCTGTGAGCTTTTTACATGTACCAAAATGGGATTCCCTCTAGCAGAAGTCTTGGGGGGCTTTTGCTGTAATGGTAAAAACCAGAGGATTGTCAGCACTCCCCCACCCATAAACTGCCTCTATTTAACCTCCCCACCTCCATATAACCCACATGGGCATGGGGGATTTTCAGGACCTGTCATTTGTAGGTTTTATCAGTACTGTGAAGGGGGATTGGGGAGGCAAGAGATAAAGCTGTGTGGAAATGAAAATTCCTCCCAAACTCATATCCATGAATCACCAGGCCTGGAAGCCAGGGAGCTGTCATTCCTGCCTGGCCTGGCTGGGCTCAGAGAGAGCTGTGTGAGGACGGGGCTGCTGGCATGCAGCCTGGAGCATGGGGCCATGACCTCACATTTAATTCAGTCTGAGTGGGCAGGTCACCCCATACGTCTCCTTTTATTTTTGAAGATCTATATTTACTGGGCTTGGTGCTGGGCCAGGTAGAAATCTCTGCAGCCACTGTGCTGCTTAAAAAAGTTTTCTTTCTAAACTTGGAAAAACAGAACCTGTATTCCCTCCTTTCCCTCTCTGGCACCACCTTTCTCCTTGACACGCACCCAGGATCCCCTGGGTTTCTAGGTGTGTTTGTTTTGTAGGCTGTGTTCCAAGAGCCTGGAGTAGAGGGCCCTGCCCCACGCTGGGCTGGTGACTTCAGCACACTAGGGGAGTTGGGGCAGGTCTGGCCTTCCCTCTCTTTGCCCTGGGGGCTTTCAGGGAATTTCAGTCATTTCCTCTGTGGTGCCCCAGGTTGGAAGGCTTGTTGCTAGAGTGACAGGACTGTTTGGCATCATTTGTTTCCTTCTGTTAAGTTTAACAAGGACCTGGGGACTACAGGGAGCAATTTGTGTCCACAGAGTACTTGAACACCATTCATCCAAGAGCAGAGATCGAGGGCTTAGGAAGCACTGGAAGGGAGACGGCTGAATTTGAGCTAAGAGGTCCCTCCAAGGTGACGCTCCAAGTGGCAGATCCTCTCTTGCCCCCATGGGATTTCTGGCTTCCGCTTACCTCTGCACAGACTATGTTGAAGTAACTATTTTTGTTTACTGCCAACAGAGCTGCGCTTCTCAGGAAAGCTCAGTGACTATGGTGTGACAGTGCCCTGCAGCACAGATTTTCGAGGACATTTCCTCTCCCATGTGCTGTCTGGGCCAGGAGCAGCCTCTGCAGGGAGTGCGGTAGTTGACAGACCATCTGCACCACCACCACACTCCAGTCACCACCGGGTGGTCCGCAGCCCCTTGCAGAGCAGAAGAGCCACCCTGCAGCCTGGCCGGGTGGGGAGCTACTCCCTCTACTTCAACGTTACCGTTTTTGGGGAGGAACTGCACTTGCGCCTGCAACCCAACCAAAGGCTGGTGGTGCCTGGAGCCTCTGTGGAGTGGCAGGAGAATTTTCAGGAGCTGTTCCGACAGCCTTTGCGGCGGGAGTGTGTCTATACCGGGAGTGTCACAGGCATGCCAGGGGCAGCTGTCGCCATCAGCAACTGCGATGGATTGGTAAGGAATGTGCCCAGTATCCCCTGGGTTTCTCAAGCTGCATTTTTAAAAATTGAAGTATCGTTGATATACAATCTTACATTGGTTTCAAGTATATAACACAGTGGTTCAGCAGTTACCCATTTTATTAAATCCTCACTCCCTCAAGTGCAGTTACTATCTGACAACACAGGAAGATGTTAAGAATCATTGACTATATTCTCCATGCTGTACTACCATCCCTATGACCAGCTTATATTATGATTGAGAATTTTTGTGCCCCTTTATCCCCCTCCCTCTCCCCACATCTCCACCCCAGCCCCACCCACCTGATAGCCACTAGTCAATTCTTGGTATTTATGAGTCTACTGTGTTTTGCTGATTCTGTTTTGTTTTGTTTTTAGATTCCACAAATAAGTGAAATCATACGGTATTTGTCTTTCTCCACCTGGCTTATTTCACTGAGCATAATACCCTCTAGACCCATCCATGTTGTTGCAAATGGCAGGATTTTTTTTTTTTTTGTTATCTTAATGTACAGTTACTTGAACAACATTATGGTTACTAGACTCCCCCTATTATCAAGTCCACCCCACATACCCCATTACAGTCGCTGTCCATCAGCATTAATAAGATGCTATAGAATCATTGTCTTCTCTGATGGCAGGATTTTTTTTGAATGGCTGAATAATATTCCATTGTACATATGTACCATCATCTTTATCTTTAGCCTTTCATCTATTGATGGACACTTAGGTTGCTTCCATAACTTGGCTATTGTAAATAATTCAGCAATAAATGTAGGGGTGCCTCTATTTTTTTGAATCAGAATTTTGTTTTCTTCAGGTAAATTCCTAGAAGTGGAATTACTGGGTCCTGTGGTATTTTTATTTTTAGTTTTTTGAGGAACCTCTGTACTGCTTTCTAGAGGGGCTGCACCAATTTATATTCCCACCAACAATGTAGGGAGGTTCCCTTTTCTCCACATCCTCGCCAACACTTGTTATTTCTTCTCAAGCTGCATTTGGCCCCTTCCCTAGTCCCTGGCTACCTGAGCCAGGCCAACATAGTTTTCTCCTTGCCTCCCCTGTGTTTGAGACTCCTGTGAGCATGTTAGGCAGTCAGGGACTGTGCTGCCTTCCAGAAACAACCCTGCATCGCCTTCTGGACACCAGTCTCACATTCTGCCAGGTGTGAAGTGACCAAGTAGGATGGTGCCTAGTCTTGTTCAGCTCCTCACCATCTGCAGACATGCTGGGCCCAGAGCCTACCTGTTAGGGATCCCTGAGCGCTTAGACAAACATAGGTGTGAGAAGGCAGGCTCTAATGGGGTGAGTCCTGGCTGTGCCACTTACTAGGCCTGAGGCTTTGGATAGGTTACTTGCCCTCTCTCTGGTTCTTCCTTTATGCATGAAGCAAGGAATTATTCATTTTGCACCTAGTCATTGAATGTGTCCCATATGCCCAGCACTGTTCAGGCTCTGGGGGAAATGGCAGTGCCTGAGGCAGACATGGTCCCTGCCCTCAAGGGGCTGGTGCTGGTGAGGACAGTCTGACCTACCTCAGCAGGTGCATGGCCAGGGGTCAGCACTGCCTGACCCCTGGCCAAGGCTCTGTTGGTGTCAGCCACTGGTACTGTTCTTGGTGTTCCCTTGCGTCCTTCCTCATGCCCCACTGCTCTGCCTGAAGCCAGCCTGCTCTTTCCCGGTGCTCTGCTCTGTGAGTTCCCTTTCTCAGGACCCACTTCCTCTGCCTGGGTGTGGGGATCCCCCCCACCCATAGTTGACTCCATATTGCAAACCAGAAAGCCATGGTGGCTTCTCTCGCGCCCACTTCAGCTGGACCTCGGTCCCCTTGCTGCTCCGACCTCGGTGTGTGCGGTTCCCGTGGGCCTGTTGGGCAGCCCCAGGGCCCTGATGGGTATACTTCCTGTGGTCCTTACTTTGTCAGGTATGAGCTGATGGGTCCCAGGAAAGGACCTGCTTGCCCCTCTGCCCTTCAGTTTTAAGAGAGGGATGAGTCAGGTGTGGGGAGGGAAGAGGGCCTCCTTCCTCACTGGCAGGGCTGGGAGACCCTCTCGCCCTCTTCCCATCCTTCAGAGGTGCCTTCCTGCTGAATATCATGGTTGCTTCTGTCTAGGCCAGTCTTTCTCAGTCTTTTTTCATTATAACCCCCACAAAGAGACTTATAGACTTTTTTTCCCTAATCACCCCCCTATGAAATTTTAATACCAGAGATAATACTGAACATCTGTTTATAAACTATATGTGTATCTGTGCTTTATACATAAAAAGACTAATTTTTTTGCCCTCCAAAAAAGCTATTTTTGGCCCAGTGGAGACCCCCTATCACCCCTCTGTGAGGAAGCATGGTCTAGACAAAGTTGAGCATGTGCTGGAGTCACCAGGAATGCAAGGATTCTGGAGGTGCACTTCAAGAAGCCCCGGTTGTAAGGACAGCTGGAGAAGGCTATCCTCGTCCTAATGCCTGGGTGACCCTTGGCTGCCAGCCTGGCCTGGCTCTGTGGTTCCGGGCAGTGGGAGCCCTCAGCTAGTCTGCTGGCTAGTGTTGTGTTGTGACCACAAGTTTTGGTTGAAAATCCAAAGCAGCGTTTGGAATCACACAGGGATGCGGTGTCCATGCAGATGGAGAGACAGAAAGTGCTGGTGTAAACCAGTGGCTTGGCTGAATTATGTCGCAAACTCCTTCTAAAAGTCATTGACCACATACGCTGTAAACCATTCAGTGACAGGGCTGGGTGCGCCACTTCTTAGACTGTCTCTGTGAGTGTACACTGCTGAGCCATCTTTGGACTTAGAGGCCATGGGGCGGCATTTCCAGTGATAAGATTTAACTCTGCATCTTTATCTGGTCTCTGGATTTTGACCCTGTCTTGTTCAGTATCTGAAGTGTCAAAGCCATTCATTCCACAGTGTGACGAAGGTGTCAGTGGCTGATCATCCCCATCAATAAGTAACCACCCATCCCCTCTGCACCCTGAAAACCTCACCATTGAACCAACTTAGCATTCTGTTGATAACTTAGTTGATGCAGGGACAAGGTCCACGAAGAACTCTGACCTAGCACCCCATGAGGCAAGGTCTTGTGGCCACATGGAGTAGTGTCCACAGTGACAAGCTGTGGTCTGGCTGTTGGGGGTGGGAAGCTTCTTCGTGGGGCTGGGGTCAGCCATTGCCCAGCCAATGTTTCTGATGTCTGGTGGCCACTGAGCAAATGTTCTCATCAGCTGTGTAATCTGGGCAAGTCAGTCTCCATCACTGGGCTTTACTCTTCGCATTTGTACTTGATGCTCTCTGGCATGTGGAAATCAATTCTGTAGGACATTTGCAGAAGCCGGTCAGGTCTCGGAGGCTGTTCATGGAGGGGCTTCCAGAGGCCTGTTCTGCAGCGGAACTGAGGCTCTGGGAGTGGCTCCCCCCACTCCCTCTGCCCTTGGTTAGGTGAGAATATGGACCTCACAGGGCTGAGCCTTAGGCTGGGCCCCTGCTTGCCACCAGGCCACTGCTTGTGCCCTCAGTTGTCTTCAGAGGCCAGTCCCTAAGTATAGTTCCTAGGGGTCTCACCATCCAGGTCCCTGACAGGGGCCACAGCCCAACACAGAAGCCTCCCGGGATAGGGATTCCCTCAGTCCCAGCCCACTCCAGGAAACTGCCTCTGTCATGTGAGAGCCAGGGGCTGTTCACAGTGATGACCCACAGAGCCATCTTTGGACTCAAAGGCCACAGTGTGGCATTTATGATGACAAGATTTAACTCTGCATCTTTATGTGATCTCTAGATTTTTAACTCTGTCTTCTTCAACATCTTAAGTGCCAAAGTCATTCATTCCAAAAAACTGTGTACTGAGCACTGGCCACAGGCAAGGTCCACAGGGAGATGTAAGAAAATGAAAATGGTGCAAATAATGACAGCAACAAGAACATGTCCTTCCCGCGGCCAGGCAGAGCTCGCACACTGTCGGTGCCTTCATTAACTTCACGCACTGTGTAGACGAAGCAGCAATGGGGAGCTCGACAAGTAGTATACATAGCTTCTATCAGCACAGGACTTCATAGTCTGCAAAGCCCTTCAGGCACAGGAGGTGTGTACACAGATACTGTTATTATCTTGCTTTGCAGACAGTCAGGTCCCTGTCCTTGAGGAACTTGGGTGCCAAACACAGGGACCCCACTAGGAGTTTCAGCATTACCTTGATGGTTTTCCAGAACACAGTAGGTTGGTACTCAGTAAATGGGAGAGATTATTATCTTTTGGTCTCAGAGAAAGTGATGTTTGAACTGGACCTTGAGCAAGCAAGTGAGGGAGCACCATGCTGGATAGGGCTAGGGAGGGGGTCCCAGAAGGCACACTGGGCAGGTGGGGTCTTGGTCTGACTTTGTGGGAAGGACAGGATAGGAGAAGGGGCCCAGGATGGGGATGGGGCCGCATGTTAGCTGAAGAGTCTGGGCTGGGAGTCAGGGGATGTGGCTGTGTAACCCTGGGCAAGCTGCCCCCCTCGTCTGGGCCTCCCTTGGCCCCTGGGTGTATCTCAGCGGCTGGATGAGCACAGAGCCCCTTCCAGCTCTGGCACTGGTTGCTGGAGGGGAGCCTGTGTACCATCTAAAACCCAGGTTTCCCCCATGTCCTTCCCCCGTGGCCGCCTCTGCCCCTCCCTAGGCCTCGTTGGCCCTGTGCTGGGGTCACAGGGGCTTGGCTGTGCTTTGCCTCCCCTCTTTGCCTTCAGCGCCTCTGTGAGTCACAGGCCTGGTGCAAAAGCCATCTCACGTGCAAGATTTGTCACCATCTGGTTTCGTTTTCCACAGATTGTGCATTTTTAACGGGTTACAGAGTAGACTCCTGGCAGGCAGCGTAGGCAGGGAGCAGGGGACAGTGAGTCTCAGCACTGCTTCTTACCCCTGCCACAGTCACAGAAGCTCTCTGAGCCTTAGTCCTTCTGTCTTTGAAATGGGATTACCAGGGGGGCAGGGTTTAGGGATTGAGGGTTGAATGATCTGGAGTTTC